TACGCTATTTGAGAACGAACGGCGGCCATTTTTTCTGTCAATTTTGGGCCGATTTTCACGAAATTCGAACTCAGCCTTCCTTAGGGTGTAACGGTGATATAATAATACGTTTTTTTAAATCGGATAAAAATTATGACCTCTATAGGGTCCACAAGCTAAAAACGCGATTTTTCGTACAATCAGGGGCCATAATTCAGGAAGTTACGGTCCGATATGCGCAAATATCGAAAGGAACCGAGATCTTTGGGTTATAAACTTACATTTCAAGTTTCAACAAAATCGGATAAAAATTGTGACCTCTATAGGGTCCACAAGCTAAAAACGTGATTTTTCGTACAATCAGGGGCCATAATCCATGAAGTTTCGATCCGATACATGCCAATATCGAAAGCAGCCGAGATCTTTTGGGGATAAACCTATATTTAAAGTTTCGTCAAAATCGAATAAGAATTGTGACCTGTAGAGAGTGCACAAACAATTGTGGACGGACGGACGGACAGGGGCGACGGCATAATACGTCCACATGAAAATGTGGGCGTATAAAAATGCTCTATTTGTTGAAAATATTTTCACAAAAGTTTCGCTATATTGTTCGTAACTTTTTGTGTTTTGAATTGTCTCAGTTTTGAATATGTAATGTGTAGTTATAAATGTGTGTGGGGTTTTTTTGATAATTTTCAATGTGCATTTCTATAAGCCTTAGTTTTAATAAAAAAATAATCGGCCGGGATATCTACATAAATTTCAAATTTCGCAAAAGAGAGATATCCCAAGATCAAACCTTGTACATTGTTTTACTATTTCACCGTTGCATGAAATTCATTTTTTTCTGTAACGTACGATCATATTGTATTTTAACATTGTATATCATGCCTTATTATATGTTATTACTATTTGCATCGTTATATATATATTGTTTGATTCTTCAGTGCTCAGAATTTCAGCTTGTATATATGTATGTGTATTATCTGCTATCATATTATCTGTTTCAATAAAATTAGCGACAACAGATTGGTGTTGATGATCTTTTTTTAACCATTATTTGTCATTCCAAATTTAATAATCCATACAGATATCAAAGTGCCGCCTGCCCCAAAACATGTGCCAATCCGCATGTAATGAGGATAAATATCAATTGTAAATTAAATAACAATACACATTGCCCGTATTCTGCATGGGAACGGTACAAATAGTGCGACGAATCAAGCCTTGCCACTGAGCATTTAAATTCATATTTAAATATGAAGGTATATATATCGGATCGATCTATCTAACCATCTTCGGTGTCTTTTGCAAACTACGGCGGTAATCGAAATCGTCGACAATAGTCCCTTTGTTCACTGCCATCCATTATTGTTTTAAAAATTTGCTCCAGTTCGAGAATATTAATAAATAATAATTAATTTATTCAGGATACTTATAATCAATTATAGTACCAATACCCACCAGAAATTTATATAGTTAACGATTTCACGCTTTACTGGCAACGGTTCCACTTACTGACGCACATCAAAGATAACTTGCGGTTTTACTCAGGTAGTAAGCTGTAGCCTAAATACTGACGGTTTCTTAATTAGTCACGCTTTTTCCAATTTCTTCCGCACTCGTCTGACTAGTGATATGTTCGGATAAACTCATGTTTGTTTAATTAGTCACGTTATTTTTGTATACCGACACAGGTAAGGAATTCTAATCAATTGACTTAAATACTCACCTTGTGATTATTACTGAACATTTATAAAAAATACTGACGTACAATGCAAGTACTGACGGGTTTAAGCGACTACTGACAACACGTATATTTCTAACGAGTTTCCATGAATAGTAACCGCAATTAAGCTTTTCTACTTGCTTGAAGGATATTCTAACGCAGAAGCCCGTTATTAAAAGCTCTGACACCAGTTCTACACACTATGCATCTTGTAGTGTAACAATTCCTTCGGAGACCAAATGTTGTTATGTGAGACTGTGAGAGGATATCTGAAAATTCAAAAGATAGGTTGCCAGGCAACAAAACATACGCCCACAGCAGCTAAATTCTTTTGTAGGTAATTAGGGGCATTTAATAGACAATTTCATACAGATGACATTATAATTTTCATCGTTTGAGGGTTCACAAGGTTCTAAAAATGGGGCCATAACTCTGCATATAAATTTCATACTGATCGGATGATAACTTTTGTCGTTCGAACGTTCACAAGGTTCAACAAAGTAAATTAAGGGCCATAACTCTAGAAGTAATTGACGGAAATTGCTGACATTCAATAGGCTTCTTCATTGCACTAATCTAAATGATGCATATGAATTTCATACAGATTGGGTGATAACTTTTGACGTTCAAGTGTTCACAAGATTCAACAAAGTGAAACAAGGGCCATAACTCCAGAAGAAATTAACGGAAGTTATTGAAATTAAATAGGCTTCTTCATCTCACTAATGCAAACAACATATATCAATTTCAAAACAATCAGATGATAAATGTAGTCTGTAGAGTACGTTCACAAGAAATTGTGGACGACGGACCGACAGACGGACGGACGGGGGGGGACGGACGGGGGCGACGACAATATACGACCACATTTCAATGTGGGCGTATAATAAAACTATACACCAACTGTCCTCACTCACACTTAATTACCCTAAGCAGAAAATGTTCATCTTTGAACTCCATCATGGCATTGACCTAATAAACACCTACACCAAGTTTGAACATTCTAGCTCAATTAGAAGGAGAGTTATTGTGTCCAAAAAAGTGTGATGGACAGACAGACGGATGGACAGACGGACGTCCGGACAGACAGACAGACAGACAGACCAATTTCAATAGTCCCCCGCTTTCTTCGAAAGGCGGGGGACAGAAACATATTCAAACTGATTAATCCATCAAAAATTTGATTCAAATCCCTCTCAAAACTCGATTGCGGAAGGGTTCATTGTTCAGAATGTATTTGTCATTACTTACTGGCCATATACCATACATATTGAGGTCTAAGTAAATTCTTAAATTATTTTCTGTGAACTTCTTTTTCTGCCGTTTAATTGCAGAGTCTGTTATATGTTTACATCCCTCAGTGTTCCCAAATCCGCCTAACCATTCGATCAAGAAATAACAACCGCTCCCTCGGTCAAGCTAGCATACCATAAGCCATCAGAGAAGCCCTCGGATTGCGAGAGAGAGAGAAAGAGAGAGAGAGAGAGAGATTGGGTTTAACGTCCATTCGACACAAACTAGGTCATTTCGGGACTAACATATGGTTTAATTTTCTTTCAATAATTCGCTTGCGCGTACGGGTCTTTAGCAGTGGGAGGAAACCGAAGGACCCAGAGAAAACCCACGAGGTTGGACAGACGACCCTACTCCTTGTCACATACAACTGGGGATTCGAAACCACACCAGTTGACTCAATGACAGGTCTTATGATACAGCGCGCGCTAAACATTCAGCCATTCGGCCATCCACCCCCACCCCACCCATCGGATTGCCAGTTTTACAAAAAGACTATATAACCATGTTATGATAAAATCAATCTAAATAGTATAAGAATAAAATGAACAAAAAAAGGGGGGGGGGGGACTATGTACATATTTACGATTTCAGGTTTGCCGTATTCATATTTTTAGCTACTGGATAAATTTTTTATTTAAACCTTCCGGAGATGTCTAGAAATCTATGGACTTGTTTAAAGATAATACTTGAAATAATAATATCGTCAGTGCCTTTTAATAATGTCTGTATTGAAATCACGTTTTGGGGTAAGGTAAAAATTGAATGTTTACGTGCATCAGAATGTAGACAACAGGTTAAATGGTTATGTTCGGTATCTTCAAAATCATGACCGCAAGCGCATACAGGGCTGTCTGAGATGTGCCTTAAGAACTTATGACCATTTAAGTCAATACAGGAAAGGCGAAGTCGACAATGTAAAATCTGATTTTTTCTTTTTCCTGAAATAAAGTATGATGGCGCTTGTGTGTCAAATTGTTTCAATTTACTTTTAAATATACTGATAGAGGAAGATGATTTTATAAAGTCAGACAGTCGGTTCTATTCCTTAATCGTAGACGGTATATATGATTTCGAAAATAAAGATGTTCTACAAAAGTACTCTGTTAAATTAGATTTGTTACGAAGGTTATATGGCTTTTCCGGGAATATCAGTTCGTGAAGATATGGTGATGTAAGATGATTCATAATTTTGTAGAAGAGTATATAAGTTTATGACGCCTTCGCCTCTCCTGTAGTGTGATAAAACCGGTTTCCTCATATAAAAGTCTATGGCTGGTCCTCCTAACAGCACCACATATAGTCCTTGGTACGTCAAGTTGCAATGATTCTAGTTTGTTAGTAAGTTAGTCAGATTGCCAGTTAGTGATACACTGACAGTTTTGCTCAGTGTTTGTCACATGGGTGTTTTTCGGGTAATCCAGTATTTTTCTATTAAGAATAATTGGGCATCTATACTGTCCATATACCAAATTTGGCATACTTTTATTGGAAATAACCACCCGATAAATACTTTCATGACAATGTATTTTTAAGGTAATGGTGAATAATTAGAACTATTGGAATATTTTTTTTTCATAAAAATAACTTAACGAAGCTTAACAGAAATTTACATAATACATGTATTAGGTCATTGAATGCCATCCAATTTTACAAAAAAAGATACATTTACTCAATGTCTATGCAAATATGGCTCAAATGGAATTTGCAGAAAATAACAATTATTTCGTGTATATATTTCTAATGCTTGTCCTGCTGACCAAATTTATTTTGCAGTTAATTTTATAATTTATCATAACATTGAGGTAATTAGTGACTGAATATTGATGGTTTATGGCTTCTAACATAGGTTAACTGTACTTAAGACATAAATTATTATATGTGATGCATTGACAGAAGTCCTCTACTAACATGGACAATATTCAGGAGTTTCTCTGCATTATGCACATTATTGTATACTATCCACTTGATATACTATAAAAAAAACTATACTTACTTGTAACCACTTATCAACACATCTAGCATGAAATCTATGAAAACATGGTAAAATACGAAGATTCTCATCTTCTTCATATTCACACATGCATATAGAACAATCTTCAGGATCTGTGGAAGATTTATCTGAAGTTTTATACTGTTTAACAGGTAATCTATTAATCTTTCCATCACAAATACCTTTCTGTTGCACATCTCCTAACTCTTCAGCTAGTTGTAATAATGTCTAAAAATGAACAAAGAAATGTGTAAATTATAAGTTGCCACATTCACAACTAGAGATGAGGCAGTTAAGTGTGTTACTCAACTTAGTAAACTAGAAGGTAAATATGTTCATAAATATTACCTTTTAGTTTATTAATTATCATTTGTACTTGAAAACGATAAGAGAATACTTCGTCGGTGAAGTGTCTAATCTAAGAATTTCTAAAGATTATGAATTAGAACCTTTTGCATTTCAAAATTTCCACAGATCAAGATACAACATTTGGACACATGATACCCAGAACAGTTCTAATTCATTGGTGCAGAGATACACAGCTTAGACAGAAATGTGCATATTAATTGGGAGATTTAAAAATGCAAAAAAGTGTATTTGACTAATTTCCTGAGATACACACCGTTTTGACAATTCACCGACGACTTGTCAAAACATTGTGCTATAAGTGTATAAACCAGTGATTGTTTTCCATATAAATTGTTTTGTGTTTTTTAATGTGCTCAATCGCTAAATGCCACTCAAGGACTATTTATATACTTAAATATAAAAACAATTATCACACTTCTAAAGTTTAAAAATAAATATTGTGACCTTTTAAGTTTAAGCATACACATATTAAAATAGATACATAAAAATGATATACAATTAAAATTTAAAATAAAAAGCTGTCTCTTTTATAAAGTCTAACACTTTATTATATACTCTTCAAAAAAAGTAGGGGATATTGAAATGCAAATACCTATGCAGGTTGTGATATGATAAATAGTCATGGACACTTGACATGCTTTGAGAGTATGTTCACAGATGAAGAACTTATCGCCCCAAAAGAATCACTGAGCTGCACGGGCGACGCGCAAAAGCACCATAATGTGGGAGGGGTTCATAGTCAAATTTGACATTTCAAGGAAGGGTTGATGAAAACTGCTGCGTGCTGGTTTATCCTATCCATGTTTGCTTTCCTATCGGTTCTTGCATAAGATTTACTGTTTAGCGTATCATTGCTTTAGTGTGTTACCTTTAATTTGCAATGAGATGTCTTCAACATGATGAACGTCTACGTGCAATTGACATGCTTCAAATGGGTTCTACACAGCGATCAGTAACCAACATGCTTAATGTGTCACAATCTGTAATCAGCAGACTGTCAACAAACACACAATGTTGATGATAGACCTCGTTCAGGTCGTCCTAGAGCCACTACAGAAGCCCAGGATTGATACATTCGTACACGGGTCCTGCAAAATCGAGGACAAACGGCCAATCAGCTATCTGTAAACTTGTACCAAGTTACAGGAATTCGAGTTACAACCCGAACGATTAGAAATTGGCTACATGCAGCCCATTTGCATGCGTGTTGTGCCTCCATTAACGCGCCAGCACATGGCCAACAGGCGTTAATGGTGTAGGCAGCGTAGAAATTGGGGTAACCGTCGATGGGCGTGTGTAATGTTCTTAGATGAGTCCAGATTTACTCTGGATTTCACCGATAGGCGTACTCGCGTTTTTGGAGGTGTGTAAATGAGCATCATGCTAACGTGGGTCTCTTATGGTGTGGGGAGGAATCACTATGACTGGCAGAACGGACTTGCATATTGTTCAAGGAAGGGTCACTGGTGTGTTCTACTGTGACCACATCCTGGCACCGATAGTTCTACCCTTTGCTCATCGTGCAGGTCGATGTTTCATCTTTCAAGATGATAATGCCTGTGCCCAGCGCCCGCGTCACCATATTGTCCATATGCCTTGGCCAGCCATGAGTCCTGACTTTTCCCTTACAGAGCATGTCTAGGACATGATCAGGAGACGAGTTCGTCGATGTCAACGTCAACCGACAACACGCAAGAATTGGTTGTGGCACTGCAAGAGGAGTGGGTCAGATTGCCCCAAATCGTGATTGGACGGTTGATTAGGAGCATGCCACGATGAATTGCAGAATGTCTGAGGATTGGTGGAGCAATTACACATTATTAAGACAAATATCAAAAACGTCTATTTTCACTTTTGACAGTTTATCTCTTTGCGAGTGAAATGGGGCCGTCAGATAAGCCGCCTATATGAACTGTTTATGTTCATGTGTAGGCAATTGGCCGGTTATTAACATATACTGGTTACCTCTAATAAAATCAAAATGTGCTTAACTGTCAAAGGAACATGACAGTGTTCACATTCTGGTTGAGGATCTTGCTTTAATATGAAAATGTAAGTTAAAAAAGTATGACCAATGTAAGAGCGACACAAAACAACCTCATCCCTCCTGTTGGTTCTATAGGAGTTTGGCCAGTCTCCTAAATTTAATTGTGTCTGCAAGATCCCAAGATCGTTGCCAGCGGTCATATATAAAGAAAGGTTGCCAGGCAGTGAAACATAATCCCACAGCAGCCAAGTCGTCCGAGTAGTTGACAAGGGTTGTCGCATATTTATTCTTTTGTAGGTAAGTGGAGACATTTACAAGACAATTTCATACAGATGAAATTATAATTTTTGTCTTTTGAGGGTTCACAAGGTTCTAAAGATAGGTTGTCAGGCAACGAAACATACGCTCACAGCAGCTAAATCATCCGGGCAGTCAACAAGTGTTGTCGCATATTTTTACTTTTTTCGGTAATGAAACATTTATAATACACTAAAATCTGATTAAGAGGAACAACTCATGAAGTAATTATCAGAAAACCATTAGAATTTGTTTGGTTTTTATAAAGTTCTGACCCATGCTAACGCTTAGTATACAAAACTTTTAATATCATGGATTTAGCTGTTCCAAGTCATAAAAATTTACTTGTTCGTATCAAGACCTTAAACTCTGTGTATCTATCTGAAGTCAATCGGATGATAACTTTAGCCCCTAGAGCATTCACAAGGTTTTTCTAACTCTGGCAGTAATTATCGAAAATCGCTGAAAATGAATAGACTTCTTCGTCTCATGACCTTAAACACTGTGTATAAATTTAAAGTCAATCGGATATTAACGTTATCCTCCAGAGCGTCCACAAGATTTTTCAAAGTGATCAAGGGCCATAACTCTGGCAGTAATTATCGGAAATCGCTGAAAATCAATAGGCTTCTTCGCCTCATGACCTTAAACACTGTGTATAAATTTAACGTCAATCGGATATTAACTTTAGCCTCTAGAGCGTCCACAAGATTTTTTGAAGTGATCAAGGGCCATAACTCTGGCAGTAATTATCAGAAATCAGTGAAAATCAATAGGCTTCTTCGTCTCATGGCCTTAACACTGTATATAAATTTAAAGTCAATCGGATATTAACTTTAGCCTCTAGAGCGTCCACAAGCAAATGTGGACGCCGGACCGACGGACTGGGGGCGACGACAATATACGACCACATTTCAATGTGGGCGTATAAAAACTGCAACAATGGCCTTAACTCTGGAAGTAATTTACAGAAATGGTTAAAATTTACAAAAATGGTTAAAATTTACAGAAATGGTTAAAATTTACAGAAATGGTTAAAATTCAACAGACTTTTTCGTTTTACTAATATAAATAATGCATACAAATTTCATACAGATCTGATGACAACTTTTGTCGTTCTGACAATGACAAGCTTCAACGAAGTAAAACAATGGCCATAACTCTAGAAGTAATTGACAAAAAATGCTTCTTCGTTTTGCTGATGCATATAAATTTCATACAAACAGGATGGTAACTTTTGTCCTTAGAGCATTCACAAGGCGTAACAAAGTGAAACAAGGGCCATAACTCTAGAAGGAATTAACAGAAATTGATGAAATTCAATAGGCTACTTTATTTTACCTATCTAAACCAGCGGCTGCCAGGCAGGATACGCCCACATTTTGCAAGAGATGGATAGAGAACAAGCTAAACAAAAAGCGATTTTTCGAACAATCAAGGGCCATAATTCAGGAAGTTACGATCCGATATGCACGAATATTGACAGGAATCAAGATCTTTGGGTTATAAAGATATACAGTAGAATCTATATGAGCAGCCACTCCTATTCAGCGACATCTCCTTGTAAGCGGTCACAATAAATTCCCCCGTAAAAATTCTATTGTTATATCTCTTTATTCAACAAAACATCGCCCATTCAACGGCCATTGTTGAATGATACCATTTTGTCGTTCTTCGTAACATCCCCACTAATCCTGTGAGTATTAGTTAATTAACTGGCCCCCACTGATCAGGTAAAACGAACTGTGAAAATAACAATAAATCGGGATTATCTGTTAATTAAACATGCATTATGCAAGAGCAAAATCTGCTTATTACAAGTCTTTCTTTAGGCCTGAAATGTTATCTAAATTATCAATTAGACATTAATTAACTTATCCAGACCATAATAAACTCTCGATGTCAAGGCTAGCCTTCGATGTTGGCTGGATTAGATTCCTATATGCCGCTAACAGCTATTGATAATTAAATCAATAAAAGTGGATAATCGAGACTATACTGTTTATATTAATGATTTTAGTAATGATGACCGAGACTATGCAAAAATTTCACCCGCTTCTTTCTCGGCTCATAGTGGATCAATTTGACTGAAATTTTCAGTAAATTACCCTTACACTATTTAGTTTTTAACTATTATAATGAGAACTGCCATCTCTTTATCTTATCTCCCATAATGTATCTTTAATCTTTTGTTTTATTAAACGACTAACCTGATCATTGCTTTCATATGTACCGTAACGAAACATTATTTGATACTGATTGAATAAACTAAAAGTACCGACAAAGCCAGTAGCGCAAAGCCGAGTTTTGTTACGATCATCTAGTATCTCTTTTCCATTGCCACTTTGTTGTTAAACAAACGTATTAGCGCCTCCTATAATATTATATACAGAGTTACACCCCCTGTAAATCGGTGACAAAATCAGCGATGGTTTTTTGTTCATGTGCTTTTTTGATTAAATAAAATTAATTCATTCATCGATTTTCTTCACAAAAACGGATAAATAATATTGAATGCATCTCAATGGTAGACACTAGACAGTAGTATCGAAGGTTGGTACAAAATGACAAGTTT